GAATGTCTTCCGGATAGACGGTGTTGCTGTCCACGAGCACACAAACTCGAGCAAATGTCAATCTAGTCTTTTTGGAAGTAAGAGAGTCAGCCGCTATCGGAACACCGACCTTACTCACAATCCGGGAGATACCCTCTGAGTTCCAACAAGCCAGCGGTAGATCATGAATTTTGATCCAAATGGGAACTGCAGAGAGGTTCTCCCTCTTAGGTTTGAACTTGGGATGCCATTTTTGAAGGATGAATGGTTTACCCAGGAGAAACCATACACCCTAGACCAAACCAAGTCTATGGCTTCTGCACAAGCAAATCGAAAAAGAAAAAAATCGTCGCTTAACGAAAGCATTTGCAACTCACCTTTAAGAGACCAAGTTTTCTTAACAGCACCTAGCAGAGCCTCATAGAACGGTCTTTGACCTATCGAATATCCGACCAGGCAGTGCGACCAATCGCCAGATCCATAAGAGAGCTTTTCACCAGAGAAAGGCACTATTTCTGGTTCCAAAGGATAGTGAGATAAACTTAGGTCGGAGGGAGAGGCCTCCTGTGGAGCAAAAACTGTGTGCTGAATACTCGTACAACGTTCGGACGCAAATTTACAAACTCTACCGCTGCGTATATTCTAGCACGCAACAATAATAGATATTCCAACATTAACAAAATTAAGAAGAACTAATGAAGTGTGATGCTTAAATGAAGTTGTTACTCAGGGCTCCATCAATCCAGAAAGAAAAACCATAATATATAACAAGAAGGGTATATAGATTTGGATTATGAAAAAAATATTTCCTTAAGCAAAATAGTGAATTTTCAGTCTTTGATGATTATAGTTTCATGTTATCCAATGAGAAGAGAACTTGAAGATGGAGAGAATCTATATTATTCATTATATGATAATGAAAAATCATCAAAGACATAATATTTTGAATTTGAAAATAAATAAATTAATTTAAATTTCATAAATGATTTTCTAATTTTATGAGACAATAATTCTCAATAAGGATGGTCTCATATCAAATGCTAAAAAAAATAGAGAAAAATTAGAGGGTGTTAATAATTACAAGGAGATTTAAACTCCTTTTACAAGTAGAAATTATTATCTTAAATCATTGAATTTATGTTACAATGTCAGATGCACTTTCTACTGCCAAAAAGCTGGCATATGATACATAAAACTATAAGTTACATATTTGTACATTTAACTATAGTGACAATCATATTATTAATGATTAATATATTTTTTTCACTTGTAGAGATGAAATAATCATTCATTTCATGGGTGGCATTCAGAGAGAAAATGAGATATATATATATATACAAAGGTGACCTAGGCGGTTATCAAGTAGGGGCGGAGCCAGGATTTTGTTCATGTGGGGGCACAAAATATTGAAGTTAAAAAAAAAACCCTCAACCTTTTTCATCCGGGCTTGGGACCGGCATTGGCGATTTTAAAATTTTTTTTAAAACATTAGATTCATTATAAAAACATAAAATATATAGTAAAGAAAAAAACTTACAATTGAGAACATAGTCTTGATATTCTTCTTCTATGTTATCTATAATTTCTCCCGTCGAGTCTTCATTTTTTGAAATCGTTGTACAATCAAGTCATTGTCAATACAACTAAAAATATCTTTTTCAATATAAATAAGTAAACAATCATTCATCCAGGAGTCTCCCATGCGATTGCGTAAACGATTCTTTATAATTTTCATTGCAGAAAAAGCTCGTTCAACTGTTGCTGTAGTAATTGGCAAAATCAAAGCAAGCTTTATAAGTGAGAACACCAAAGGAAATATATTATGCTTTCTTGTCTCAACTAATTTCTGAGCAAGTTCTCCAAGTCCTTTTAAATTCATAAATGCATCATTCGATCTCATATCAATAATAAAATTTTATATTTGATTGTCTAGTATGATGAGATCCATTTCAGAGAAATCTGACGGATAAAATTTTGCAAGACGAAGCAATCATTCTTTATCAAAATATGAAAATGACTGATATAGATTCAAACATGTCACACACATAAGTAATTCTGTATTAATTTCATCAAATCTACTATTGAGCTCTTGAAGTTGCAAATCTATAACAGTGTAAAATAACTCGATTTGATAATGATGTCTATTTGTTATACTTTCAGTACGACGTCTTGATCTTCCTCGCATCACAAATGTATCAGTCATGTTTGGAATATTTATGTTATTCTTCTCACAAAACAATCCAATCTCTTTAAACAAATTTTCCCACCCGTCATTTCTCATGTTTTGAAGTCTTTGTTTGGAAACTTTCACCAAAGTCATGGCATTTATAATATCCTGATCCTTTCTTTGCAGTACTTGTGATAACTCATTAGTAACTCCTAAAATAGTCTTCATCATATGCAAATTAAAAATAAAATCAAAACTTTGCATAGATTCAAGTAGTGATTATGCTTCACCTTTATGGTCACTATTAATTCCCTTATGAGTCACTATGTCAAGAACCTCTACAATGGACTCAAACAAAAGAATTATACTGATGAGTGAATTATAGTGGGAACCCCAACGAGTGTCTCCCGGTCGTTGAAGAGTGATTTCCTGATTTAAACCTCGACCTTTAGTAACCTCTCCACTTTCTAATTGCTTAACAATTTTGTCATTATGTTTTCCTCTTAATATATCTTTTCTTTTGCATGAAGTATCAATAATATTTAACAAACATGTCACACAATTAAAGAATGAAGCAACTTGGACATGATTTTTTGCTACTGCAATCAATGCTGTGCAAAACAATGTACATAATAAGCTGAAGGGTTTTCTTTCATAATCAATGTTTTTAATCCATTAAACTCACCTCGCATGTTGCTCGCTCCATCATAGCCTTGTCCACGTAATTGTGTCAAACTCAACCCATACTTTGCAAAAAGATGTTCAATGGCCAACTTTAGTGTAGGAGCTGTTGTATCACCTACATGAACAATCCCAATAAAACGCTCAATAATGCATCCTCGTGTATCGACGTAACGTAAAGCAACAGCAACTTGTTCTTTAACTGATATATCACGAGATTCATCAAGCAAAACTGCAAACACATTATTCTTCAATTCATTGATTATGACATTTGAGACTTCAATTGCGGCAGCTTCTGTGATTTCCTTCTGGATTTCAGGAGCTATTAGTTTATTATTTCCAGGAGCATTATCTAAAACAACTTTATTTATGCTTTCATTATGATTTGCAAGAAAACGCAGAAGTTCAAGAAAATTCCCTTGATTCTCAGATTCCTCTGATTCATCTTTCCCACGGAATGCTAATCCCTGGTGTAAAAGAAAACGAACACAATCAACATTAGCATTTAAAAGAAAACGAACACAATCAACTTTAGTGTTATGTGCACTATTCTTGTTACCAACGTGAATTTGAATTCTATCCTTTTTTTTCCAATTTCTGAAACCCTTCGTGTCAAAACTGTCACCACCAGCTTGTTCTCAGGTTTGAGATTTATACAAATAACAAAACAAACAATACGCTGCATCCTTTGATATACTATACTCCAACCAAGCTTTGTGATTATCAAACCATGCAGGATTAAATTTGCGAAATCTATCACCAAATTGAGTACGCGGGAATTCATGATCACGCGGTTGACACGGTCCTTTTAACAAATAATGTCTCCTGATACTATCCCTCTCGTTAGGATGATAATCTAAATTTTTTTTCCTCAATCCTGGATCGGCAGGGATATCCAAAAAATTAATTTCTACACGGGTATGTTTGCTTTGTGTATTGTCTTCTTCACATAATGTTTTGTAGTCATCTTCAACAACTTTTCTTTTGAAATACCTATCCATGCTAAATTAAATGAAAAAAAATTATCAATTATAAAAAAAAAAAGATAAAACTTGCTTCAAGTTCAAGTATAATAATAAAACTTCAACCTTCAACCTGCTTGCACGGCAACCAAACTTCACATAATGTTTTGTAGTATATTATAAAGAAAAAAAACAATGGACAAAATTACATGAATAAAAATTCATGCAATAAGAAAATAATAGACAAAATGCAAGAGATCAGCATACCTGCTTGGCTGCTTGCACGGCGGTTTTGAAACCAAACTTCAACCTTCTTGGCAAGAGCAAGCTTCTATTTTTAAAGCTTGGCAAATTCAAGTTTTTGTTTCTTAAGCCATACACAGCAAAAAAAATATTTCAGATGAGATAGTAATCTAACCGGGTTGAGGCAAGTAGGCAACGGGTGCTGTGCGGCGTTGAACGGGTGGCCGGCGGCGGGATTCAACTTCCTCCGGCGCCGAGAAAAACAAGGGTGCTGTGCGACGTTGAACGGGTGGCCGGCGGCGGGATTTGAATTCCTCCGGCGCCGAGAAAAACAGGGGTGTTGTACTGCTGTGCGACGTTGAACGGGTGGCCGGCGGCGGGATTTGAATTCCTCCGGCGCCGAGAACAGGGGTGCTATACTGCTGTGCGACATTGAACGGGTGGCCGGCGGCGAGATTCGAATTCCTCCGGCGCCGAGAAAAGCAGGGGTGCTGTGCGACGTTGAACGGGTGGCCGACGGCGGGATTCAAATTCCTCCGGCGCCGAGAAAAACAGGTCCACGAATTTCTGCGGAGTAGGAATAGGGAAAGTCGGAATATGAATAGGGAAAGGCGGAAGCATGCGTTGAGAACCTGAGAGGAAATATTATTAATGTGTTACTACTTACTATAACAGCTTAATATTTATTTATTTAATGTTTTATAAATATTATTAATACTATATTATTCCCAAAGTCAATGGGAGCCACTGCCCCCATGACCCCCACACTGTATCCGCCCATGTTATCAAGGATGCAAAGATCATGATTACCGTACATGAGGATAACAGACACAAGTGAGCTGACATGTACATGTATTCTACCACAAAGGATTCTAGACCTGCGAGGAGAAGAAGATTTCATAATAACAGGTTGATAGAGTAGGTTTTCATTGGACCCATGGCTTGTGAGGATAAGAGGATTTTAAGATAGGATCTTGCCATGAAAGGCAATCGTAGGTCCTACTGTGTGTGAGGAAGAGAAGATGCTCGTGTGAACAGCATCTTGAAACTGATGTCAAGCAACAAGAAGAGACGGGTCGAAAATAAATTCATAGCTTTTTTTTTCCAGAAATAGGCAACATAAACGCGGGTTCGGCAAAGAAAACGGAAAATGTGTCGGCTCTATTTCTAATGTCGTTCGATTACTTTTCTACACCCCCACCCGACGAATGCTCTGGTTTAGCTGGCTTCCGCCCTTTGGCCCTCCTCTGCTGCGCTTCATTCCATGCCTCCGTCTCTCGCGTCTCATGTCGAAGCCAAAGGGATTTTTCGGAAAACTCATCAAGCCCTTTGTTAGCAGACATAATCGAGGTCCGCTTCTTGAAAGTTCAAAATTGATCAATTTTTTCGATTTTCGATTTATTTGATCCCGTGATATCCGTTTTATTCGATGGCCTTGCTGCAGAGTTGCGGAAAGAGGAGGAAGATCTCGAGGCAATTGCTGCCAAGGAGACCAAAGTCTTCAGCTACGAAGCCCTAGTGACCGCCACCCGCAATTTCAGCTCCAAGCACAAGCTTGGCGAGGGGGGTTTTGGCCCCGTCTACAAGGTTGTTATTGGAAACCCCTATTCCTGAGCTCTTTGAATGAGGAGGCCGAGATCGCTGCACCGCACACCAAATGTTTGATGTAATGGCTGATTGATGGTGCAGGGGCAGTTGGAGGATGGGAGGCTGGTAGCGGTGAAAAGTCTGGGACGCTGGTCGCTGCAGGGTGGGAATGAGTTCATAAACGAGGCTGTGTTGCTTTCGCGGGTTCAGCACAAAAACGTAGTCACCCTCTACGGATACTGCACCCACGCTGAAGACAAGCTTCTCGTGTACGAGTACGTTCACAATGAAAGCCTCGACAAGATCCTTTTCTCTCGTATGTTGTTGTTTCTCCTGTTCTTTCCTGTCATTTACTAGAAAAATGCTTTTGCAGCGCCAAAGGCTTTATAGCAAGTATCATTTTGCAGATGTTTCTTTTAGTTGTTCTGCAGCTGAAAATTGAGAAATACTCAATTCTTCTAGATTAATTTTGTTCAGTTAAAATTCGGATTGTCCGAACTAGACTTGAGGGATGTAAACCTATGTTAAATGGGATTACATCTATGATATATGATGGATTGGGACAATCCGAACTCATATTGATTTGCATTCCTTGCAACTATAAGTTATTTTTTTTCAAAATAATTTTTATCAATATATAGTAATAAAGTGAATTTGGACCATCACTTTTTGTTTCATTATTTTCTTTTAACATGTAACTTCCTAGTGAAATGCTAATTATACAAATATGTGATGTGGGCCTATTATCTCTCTCTTAAATATTGCATGCTACATGAGATATGTGTTGAAAAAAATGATTTTTTGGGTGTGATAAGTATTGCCTATAAGATATATGTTTCCTTTTAAACTTTGTGTGAAGCATTGCTCTTATAAATATTTTCATTTAAAAAAAAAATAAGTTTTTGAGAAATTTGGACAACATGCTTTTACTATATATGTAAGCAATTCTTTTACTTTGAAGGGACAACATGCAAAATGACTTTGGGATGCCATATTGGAATGCAGGGGAGGACAAAGAGGCAGCAATGATGTTAGACTGGAAAAAGCGTTATGATGTGATGATTGGGGTAGCTCGAGGAATGCAGTACCTGCATGAGGATGCACACACGCCTATCATCCATAGAGACATCAAAGCTAGCAACATCCTTCTTGATGAGAGGTGGTGCCCAAAAATTGCAGACTTTGGTATGGCTAGGCTCTTCCCAGAGAACCTCAGCCATGTTAGCACTCGAGTCGCTGGCACTAACGGTTACATGGCTCCGGAGTATGCCATGCATGGCTACCTATCCACCAAAGCTGACATTTTTAGCTTTGGTGTCCTCATCATTGAACTCATTACTGGCCAAAAGAACTCGGCATTTGCTGCTCGGTCTGATGCTTCCACGCTCCTTGAATGGGTATGCATATTATGATTTTCATTAGAACGTAATAAATTACTCCATTCCTATTGGTGTTAATTTTTATCGTCTATTAAATTTGATAAGCTAAATACTTCATAAGAGCATACCAATTCACTCGATGGTTATCATGTTAAGCATGCTACCTTTATCCATTTAATGGTATGAATACTTCAAATACGTCCTATACAATGAGAACTATTAGGACATTATCAATTTTGTATTCTCCTAGTGCTGTTTCAAAAAGAAAATTCCAGAATATGTGAGTGGAAAAAAAATGGCTTATATACCATATGTTTATTTTACTGTTTTCCCTTTTTTTAATGAAAACAACTTATTCTTGATCTCCCGTCTCTCTCCCTTATTTCTCTCGAAATCCATTAAATTTCCCTCTCTCTCTTTCTCTCTCACATGTCTTTTCTTCCATTTCCCTCATAATTTTAATAGGGAACCTCTTGATCTACCCTGAACTAGATCGACTTGGATCTGATAAATCCTCTCTTTTTTATGGTTATTATAACTCAAACCTCTAATATTATTAAACTACAATATCATTTACCTGTTACAACACATTTTTATCTTGAATTACATCATGAATTCCACATCATTATCATTTAGCTTTTGCCCAACGTTTACGGTTGCATGCATCATTCCTTCATCCCTATTTATTTCTATTAATGCTATTTATTATGTCAATGATATCACACATCTAGGAGTTCGAATTTTAAGTTGAGAAGAAAAAAATGGGAGGGATTTTAATGTTAGGAATAAAATAAAGTACACAAGAAGATTGTTGATTAAATCACCAAAATTAAGGGAACTTACTTCTTTAAAAAAAAACATTCAACTAAAAACATGTAGAAAACATATTACCTAAATCTTTTTAATACATATGATTACATAGCTTAATAGCACAAAAGAAAAAAAAAAAAGCTTAATAGCCATTTGAAGTAGGGGGCAAATGATGGATTTAATGCTTGTACATGTGGCTAGCTCTAACATCACTTAATATGTATTGGGATGTAAGAAAATGGATGAGAGAGAGTGAGTGAGAAATGGGATATCGAGCAATATGATATTCAATTTAATTTTTCCCGTCCGGAGGCCAATCAGGACGTGCCACGCCACCAATACGTTGTATACCATCACTATGTACCATTGTGTATCGAGTGACATAGTGCATCTTGATTGGCCTCAAGATAGTCCGGTGACCGCACATACTAATCTCTCCATCAATGCAAAAGTCCCGCACCTCTTTTTTTTTTTTTGAGAAAATTCAAAACCTGAGATCTTACATTGTAAGAAACTCTAGCAGAGAGGATGTGTTTTGCTTCTTCATCCATCCAGTGTTTGTTAACTCGGAGTGTTCTAGGTGATCTTAATTCCTAATATTGAGTCAGGCAAATTTTTTCTTGGTTCATAAGTTTTGTGCTCTACAATTTCTTTTGTAAGTTTTCATATTTTAGGCAACATTCTGATTTACCTCTAACAACTGAATGCTTATAATTTCACGAGCTTATGATTGGCCAGCCATATATTTCCATTGCCATCAAACCCTCCAATGTAACTTTCACATACAACAAATATACTAGTCTTCTAACCTATGCTGTTAAACTGCATAAATTGTCTGAATCATTATCTCACCGGAAGTTTCCATGAATCATTCTAATAGGCATGGAGGCTTCACAAAAAGAAACAGACCATGGAGATGCTTGATCCTGCTCTGAGATCCACTGCTGATGCTGAACAGGTGATTCTATGTGCGCATGTTGGTCTCCTCTGCACACAGGCCGACCCCAAAGTAAGGCCAGAAATGCGTCGGGTTGTAGTAATCCTTTCAAAGAAGCCAAGTGCCCTTGAGGAGCCAATCAGACCTGGAGTTCCTGGCTCCAGATACCGAATAAGAGCTCTTGGTTCGACCGGCAAAACTTCGACCTCAAGCTCGGGTGCTTCCACCTCTGCATCTAACATTGCCTCCTCTTCCAATGGTAATAATAATGCGGCAACTGCCTCTTTGCCTGCTACCTCTAACATCTCCACTACTACTACTAACGTTTCGAGCGCAACCGCAATACACAGATCTAAGCCCCTCCCTTACAAGCACTATCATACAACTTGATTGTAGAAATATTGGTTTCTGATTGCTTCCTCAGCTTTGTACACCTTTGTCCTTTTTGGAACCGTTTTCATTGAATATTTTGTATATATTTTTTTTCTTTGCTTTTGATGTAGTCAATACTAGGCATTGAGAAACTTCGCATGTACAATAACTGATAAAGTGGATCCAAATCTATTTGTTGTAAAGCTTAATTAGATTTGTGAACATCAATTACCTGCCAATCCACTCAAATATTTTCAATGTTGGACCCTAATTAGTGCTTAATCTTTGCATGGAATTTGCATTAATTATGAATTTTTTGCCTGAGGTTAACCAACCCCTAAATAGGGGAAATTATTCTATTTGGAGACCAATCGGAATGCGTCACGTCAGTAGTACCGAGCCGTTGTATCAAGCAAGGGGTGACGTGGTGCATTCTTGTTGGTCTCCAGACGTCATTTGGCGTTCGACGACGTTAGGCGTCCGTACATAAAACCATTGATGTTTATTGTGTTTTATGTTCATATTTTATTGATTAGAGGTATAAATGAGTCGAGCCGAGTACGAGTCACTCTTGGCTTTAGCTTAATTAATTGATTTAGTTTGTTCTCGAGCTTAAGCTTTATTCAATTAGTTCGATCTGACTCATGAGCCGGCTCATTTATTATGAAAGAGAGAAAATGATTATGATTTAACAAGTATTATGATAAAATGATTAAAATATTGAGAAATTATAATAAAAATAATGAAAATTCAATTAATACAATAAAGTGAGATGTAGTTTTCAAACATTTTCAACAATATTATGCTTAAAGTTATGAATCGTAAATATTTTGAGTATTTCTATATTAATGTTTTTAAACGAGCCAACTCGTGAGTTAATTGGTCGAGTCGGGGTTAGCTCAAACTTGACTTGTTAGCTTTTCGAGCCTGGCTCACGAGCCATTTATTGAACCAAACTTGAGCGGGTTCACTAGTTGACTTGACTCACTTATACCCTTAGTATTGATTATTAAATGTTTTATGTTGTTGCTCTTGAATATGTATTGTATGGCCGGCCTCGGCCAAGTTTTGTTTTCTTAAAATGAAATCAAATGACATGCTAAATTTTCTGTGCTGTTGTGCTTGCCACAGGCCACTATGGCTTCAATTGAGATGATTTTTTTATTGTTTTATTTTTTAGATTGTGATGGTAGTTTTTATTTGATTAATATTTTAGTAAACTTTTATGTTGAGAAGTTATTTTCTAAAACAATTTTAAAAAATTTATTCTCTATAATAATCTTTAAGAAAAAAAAAATACTTTTTGTTGCATCTTTAAGAATCACTTTTATAGAAAGTTGAAGCCGTAGCGGTGGGACTTAGGCTTCATTTGAGATTACTTTCTTATCGCTTCTTAAAACGGTTTATAATAAAAAAAATAAAAATTTTTACACTTGAAGCACTTTTTACTGTTTTATTAAATAAATTTTTGCTGAAAAATTTATAGGTTAGATGTTTTTTATACAAAAAAAAAAAAGCTTGAAAACTGCGTCAACCAAGCCAGTCATCTGTCCGGCGATGCATGAGAAAGAGAATGTACAAATGGCAACTGCGGATATCAGGAGAAGTCATTAACAACTTAAAGCACACGTTGAAAATTCCATTGAAATCTCTCAGTTAGGAACAATTATTAGGTCCGGTGAACGGACGTAGCTCTACGTTCAGTCACCATTGAGTTACCCGGTATTTGCTCAGTATTTGCTCGGTATTTTTAGGTATTACTTGGCAATAACGAGAAATACCGCTCTGTGAAGATCAATACCGAGTAATACCGAGCAATACCGAGTGTTTCTAGAAAACCTCGGTATTGCTCGGTGTTACTCGGTATTACTCGGTATTTTTTCTTCACATAATGATATTTCTCGTTATTTCCGAGCAAAATCGACAAATATGTGGTTTTGTGCTTGCTACGTGGCGCGATTTAGTGCCGGCCGAACGTAGCTCTATGTCCTTTCATTGGACCAAATAAAAGTTCGTCAGTTAGGGTGCATTTGCTAAGTTTAATCGAATTTGATTAGAAATTAATTAAATTAATTAATTTAAATGATAAATTGGCAAAAATAAATTTGATTAAAATATTTTTCAAATTAAATTTAATTGAACCAAAATTTTGTTTGAACTATATGATTTTGAATGAATTGACATATAATTAGTTTTGAGTATAAATTAAATTATAGTGAGTTTAAATAATATATATTAAGAAGAATATTAAATAATATTGTTAAATTTAACAATTTTAATAAGTGAAATAAATAATATTTACATTGATTATTGTTGCGTCCTGGAATATTCGCGGCGGTAGAGAAATATATAGTTTAACGTCTTAGCGTTGTACGAAGATCCAGCACACAATCAGATAAGTGAGAGGGTGTAGCGTTCATAAGAGACACCAAAGTTTTTACGTGGAAAACCCCTGAAAAGGGGGAATAACACCCACCAGCAATCAATATATGATGTTCCTCTTTTTGGTCACCCATTCTCCCTTGTATAAAGGATGGCTACAAATTTGACCTTTGCTTGAATTATGGCATTCATTCTTTTACAAAATTTAGTGCTAGCTTGTGATTGATATTCAACACACACCATTCACCGATGACTAATTTTTCTTTTTCGAACAACTAATATCTCCTTTTATAAGAAAAATGATCAAGCAGACCTCCTAATGTTGCCTCACCTACAATGTTCATATTTGATTATCATTTTTAACCTACCAACAATTAATATTTAATGAAAAATAGCCACCAATGTCCAATTCTCATTATTCAAGAGATCCATTACTTTGAAGGATAATGATCAATAAACCGCCAATATTATTTAACCTCCAACATTCATAGTCAACTATTAACTTTTGATTCATGTCTCTAGATGCCCACTAATTTCTGACTTCGATCATCCTTGAACATCTGAAAACAATCTTACTAGTTGTCCAATATACACATCTATAATGAGAATGACCTAGTCAATCAACTAATGTTCCCCAAACTTCAACATTCTTCATGGACTAATGCCCGCTAATATCCAATGTCTTCTAGCCACCAATATTTGAGGCTCGCCTTCCTTGGTGTTCAATCCCTCCTCCTATGAGGAGAATGATTTAGTTGACTACCAATTTTTGCCCATATTTTGACACTCATCAGTTTCCATCACATGACTTCCAATAACATCCAACACCCGCCAACAACTAACTTCCAATGACCATCTTTCTTCTCCTCTTATGAAAGGAGAACTATTAAGTTGATGTTAGTTGTTGGTCGATCCTTTACACTCCATCAACCACTATGTCATTTCTTGTTCTCCTAATCTATCCTCTTTTAATATGTTGACCAAGGCATACTATCTATTATTGCCCAATTTTTAATGTTCCTAGTTGATTGCGATATGATGCTTATGCTGAAGTCAAATGCAAGCCTTATCGATCATCTATCATCTAATCTCATATAAGGAGAATGTCATAATTATATAATCAAACATACACTAAAAATTGTTATCTAACACTCATCAACTATTGACATTCAACATATAATCTTTGTGGCTGCCTAATCTCATACTCTCAAAAAACAACCAAAAGGAATGCTCATCATCACATGATGGAAATTTCGTGAATTAGAATTTTTTGTATTAGAAACATGCTTTAGAAAATAACAAAAAAAATTGTCCCAAACAAAACCTTAGTTCAAAGTTAAGATGACAAACACTTTCTCTACCATCACAAATATTTCAGTAGGTAAATATTAATCATTAGTTCTCCAACTTCTTGGAAGTTCGTTACAATTGGAGCAACTCTTCTCTTTCCATTTTATTGAAACTTCCCTCTCGATTGGACTACTGAAAGTTCTTCTCTCATTTTTCCTTTAGCTGATCTGATCTGTTTGGGATAAAAAAATAACAGATTATTTACTTATAAATATATTCTATTTTCTTAATAAATTATGCTCAATCAAGATTTTAAAAATCGGA